GCTGAGATGTTTACACATTCACTGAGTCAGCTTTCCTCCTGCAGTCGGCGTCATAGTGTCTGTTTTGTGAGATGGAGGAGGACTTTGTGGATTGGTTTCAGACATAAAGGTTACTGTTGGACTTGTGGGCTTGGGCAGCACTGGGTTGGGATATTTTCTTGATGTGCACTTACTTACCCTTAATATAAAACTCTCTCATACATGAGTTTCTGTGGATTTGTTTCTCTAAAGTACCTGGACGAACAGAGTTCCTGTCCTCTTCCTGTGGAAGATCTGTTTATTTGTTAAAAGCTTGTCTCAGTGTTGTATGACATCAAGGGGGTGGTCATCGCCCATTTCCCCGTTCCTGAAGGAGTGACCCCAGTCCACGCGAGGTCTCCTCTTTCCAGGTGGTTCTCATGAAGTGCACATGGGGGTGAAGTATGGTTTATGGCTTGCTTTTCAATGGAAACTCTTATCTGTTTCTCTTGGCTATTCTTGTTAGTTTTTTGTCTTAAAAATAAAAAAGAGCAGTTCTTCTCTGCCCTGTAGGGTCTCTGTGTGTGAATCAGAATTGTTTTTTTGTTTGTTTGTTTGTTGTTTTGCAAGGGGGAGGAGGAACGAGTTGTTTGACTAATTGTATTAGAAGATATATAGACTTTTAGGAGATAGAGAAGCACATTGTCCCTTGTAGGAACTGTATTTTTATTGATATCTAAAATATATGAATTTTTTCAAAACTTTTTATTATGAATTAGGTGAAGGTTTACAGAGCAGATCATAGTATTCTTTATTAACCTTGTTCATATTTGTTTTTATCATTCTTTCCTAATTTCTACTTCTAGTGGATTTTATTATATTTTAATCTGTGTTCTCTGGTGATACTGTCTGGTAAGCGTTGGACTACTAACTTCAAGGTTGGCAGTTCAAATCCACCTGCAGCTCAATGGAGAAAGATGAGGTTATCTTCTCCCATAAAGATATGCAACCCTGGAGACCCTATGTAGGGTTTCCTTGAGTCAGAATCAACTCAATAGCAGCCGGCTTTGGATATTTATATACCTTCTTAAAATCTTTTTAGAATCGGGGGTGGGTGGAATAAATAAATATTGTTTGCATCAGATATCACCAGAAATGAAATGTCGGGAATAGCATTGCTTTTGTTTTTAAAGCCAAATGTTAGAACACCATTTATTATATGTATAAAGAGAATTTGTGTCAGTTCCTATCATTCTGTGTTATCCATTCAACACTCTTCATTGAATATCCATTATGTGCTAGGTGATTGCTGATGTAGCATTTGATAGACCTTTTATAAAAACAAACTCTACCATCAAGCAGCGTATTTTATAGTTGAAGAAGCAGCACGTGTAAGAGATTAGTAGGTTCTATATTATGTTAGAAAATGATACTTGCTGTGGAAAAGGAAGTCAAGTATGATAGAGTAGGGATGTGGGTAGAGTAGTGTGGATGGGGTGGAGTGAGGAGGTTACAGCGTACAATAAAGTGGTCTAAGTAGGGCACGTATAGAAGACATTGGAATGGAGACTTGAAGGAGAGGGAGGCGCAGGGAAGTGGCTTCTGGAGGAAAGAACATTCCAACAAAGGGGTCACCCATGGCAGTGACATTCGGAGCCAGCGTGGAATTGAATGAGTAAGAGGAAGAGAGGCAGAAAATGGGGTCATCAAGGTAACAGGATTGGGAGACAAGCCCTTGTGAGCTTTTGTTGAGATTGGGGCTTTTCCTGAGTGGCGGGAGCTGGCATCGCAGGGTCTCCAGAATGGGTGGCATGTTTTACTTTCACGTTTAAAGGAGCACTCCGGCGACTCTATTTTACATTTCAAAGGAGTTGACAATGATTTCTATAATTTTAGGTATGTTACAGCCAATACTGACACAGAAGAACAGGGTTTTCCGGTCCCTCAGGCATTGAACACACACGCAGAGAAACTGAACTTAGAAGCCCTTCTTCAGAAGGCAGATCACTTACGTACGGCCGAGTCTGGCAAGGTGGAGAGCTTTGAACTGCTTTGTGACCATAAAGAAAAGGTGAGAGATCTGTAACAACAAGTCTGCTTAGTTTTCATCTTGGATTGAATATTCCATTCATGTGATGGCCACAGCGATTTCACAATCCATATCAGCTAAGTGAAAGATATCTAATTTTTTCTGCAAAGTGAATTTTAAAATTAAAATGTAAATGTAAGAATGTATTAGGCTCTAAAGTCAGAAAAATGAGAACCTGAGCTGTAATCATATATCATTACTTTAATTTTATTGTCTATTAATCTTAGATATTCAATAAGTATTTTATAATATAGATGAGTAATGACTCATTATGCCATACTACTGTTTCTTTCCCGTGTGCAAATTAAGTCTAACCTTTGTATGTGAATCGTTAGCAGTTCTAAATACCTCGTTTGAAAGTTGTTTAAACAAACCAACCCTGGACTGTATTGGTAATTTAAACAAAAATTGTGGCTACACTTTTGAGTATATGTGCTCCAACTTACAGGTGTTATAGAAAAACTCATCGAGGTATCATAGGGACAGTAGACATGTTAGCTATGTATAGGTAGGTAGGGGATATGGAGTAGCCCAAGGAGAACAATAGTATAAGGGAGCCTTGGTGCCTGGTGGGCTCTATCAAGTCTTTCTTCCACATACGTGGGGATAGTAAGCCATATAGATTAACCATGAATATTTGAATTTAACATTGTATGTATTTATACTTGCTCTAGTGGCTCTGTGGTGGGCTACTAATCACAAGGTTGGTAGTTCAAATTCACCAGCCACTACATGGGATAAAGGTCAGGTTGTATACTCCTGGACTGATTAACAATCTTGGAAACTCAACATAAGATCACTAGGAGGCTGAATTGTCTATGAGATAGTGGGTTAGATTTTGGGTTTGGACAAAAAAAACCCCACCGCAATCAAGTTGAATCCAGCTCATAACAACCATACAGGACCGAATAGAACTGCTTCTTTGCATTTCCTAGGCTAAAGATCTTTATAGGAGCAGACAGCCTCATTTTTCTCCCTTGGAGTGGCTAGTGGATTCAAACTGCTAACCCTGTGGTTACAGCCCCGCATGTAATCCACTTTTTCACCTGTGCTCTATGCTTTTGGATAGTTACAATTAGTATAGATTCAGACAGCTGTAAATACCAATTTATCTGTTTGAATTGTAAAAGTTGCACTAGAAGACATTTACCTTGTGGTCTGATTAATGAGTTAATCAACTAGTAAACCAATGGTCAATTCTCTTCTTTTTTCAGTTTAAAGAAGAAATAGAGTTTATTTGGCGGCTAACTCGTGCTTACGCGGACATGTATGATTTATCTACAAATACACAAGAAAAGAAACATTATGCTAATATTGGTAAGTATTTTTTAAAGATTGTCCTGGAGTGGCAATTATGGTCTATAGTAAACCATTAAAGAGATTGTTAATAGTTTAGTCTGTTTAATATATATGTATATATATACACATGCATACATATATATGTGAATATATGTATAAAAATTATTTGGAAAACTAAAATGTGGTTCTTTTAAACAATTAACATGTTAAAATGTTATTATTCAGTGTCATTGTGTCGATTAAGACTCATCCTGACCTCACATGCCAATAGAACCGCCTCGTATGGTCTCATAGGCTGTCATATTTATGAGGGAAGACTGCCAGGTCTTTCTCTTGCAGAATCATTTTGTTGACTCAAGCCCTAACTTTTTTGGTTATCATCCAGAGCACCTAAACATTGAACCCCCGGGCTCCTTGCAGGTTAGAATAAGCTAAAAACCAAACCAACAACTCAAGTCAAATCTGCCTTCTCGTAAGCAACTGAAAAACAAGTTCTTACTTCAGGTTTATCGAATCACAGAAAAACAAGCCTTCCAGTGTTACTATTTGAGAAATCGTTCTAGGCAGAGTATAGTTGTTTTAGCAGTGGTCCTACACCACAGTTAATACAACACAGCTTCCTTCCTGTAGCATATTAATCTCGGCACCACAAAGAATAGCTTCTCTCAAGCTGTAGTTACTGTGCTATTTCCCCCCCAAAATTCATCTTGATAAAACAAGCTGAGCTTCGCACTAATCATTGTTTAAGCTAAGTGATGACTACGTGCTGATTCAGTATGTTGTTGTTAGGTGCCGTCAAGTCGGTCCGCCTCATAATGACCCCATGTACCGCAGAATGAGACAGGGCCTCGCCCCGTGCCGTCCTCACAAAGGAGGGGATGTTCGAGTCCACGGTTGCAGCCACGGTGTCAATCCATCTTGTCAAGGTCTTCCTCTTTTTTGCTGTCCTTGAACTTCATCAGGCAAAATGCCCTTTTCCAAGGACCCCTCTCCTAAGAACATGTCAAAGTATGTGAGACAAAGTCTCCTCACACTCACTGCTAAGGACCATTCTGGCTGTACTTCTTCCATGATAGATTTATTTGTTCTTTTGCCAGACCCTGGTACTTTCAGTATCCGTTGCCAGCACCATAATTCAAATGCATCAATTCCTCTTCAGTCTTCCTATTAATCAATGTCCACCTTTTACATGCATGTGAGGCAATGGAGAAGACCATGGCTTGGGTCAGGCCCACCTTAGGCCTCAACATGACATCCTCGCTCTTCAACACCTTAAAGGGATCTTGTGCAGCCGATTTACCCAGTGCAATGCACCAATCAACCTTTTGACTTCTGTCTTCTATATTTTTGACATTAAAAAAACCCTTTTTGTGAATTAGGTGAATGTTTACAGAGCCAATCAATTTTACATTCAATGATTCAAACATAACCCATTTCATCTCTTTCAATACAATCCTTTAATATCTCGCAACTCCTACTTCCTTCTTAACCCCTCTGAAGTCTGACCTTGGGTAAATGCTGCCCCCTGGAGCTCAAATGGGCTGTTGCTCTAAGTTGTACACATGCCATTGCATGAGCATTCCCCTAGAGGCATGCCTATTGTTTGGCTGAACAATGAGCCAAGAGGGGTGAGTTCATCTAGAGGCAGAGGGTGAGCTGGGTGGGACTGTAGGAGGAATGGGTGTGGCTGAGCCGTGTGGACGTGGTTGTTGTTCCTGTCAACCGTGATCAGAACAAAATGAGATAAGAACAGAAACAGCAGCAAAGGGGAAAACTATCAAGAAGAAAAAAAAAAAGGCAAGCAGCAAAGCTGCCAGCAAATGAAAACAAAGCAAACCCCACAAGGGCAGTCAAAGAAAAATAATAATCAGCAAGCCTAGGAGGGGAGAAGTGACAACCGTAAAGAAAAACCAAGACAGAAGGGATAAGAAAAAAAGTAAACAAAGGAAATCAAGACAAAAGGGAAATCAGAGAAAGAAAAAAGAAAAGGTTTGGAGGAAGGCTTATTAACAACCTTCAATATGCAAATGCTACTTCTTATAAAGGTCAAGATTTCAGATTTCTGTATGAATTCCAACAACTCCATGTAAAGAAGACCAAAATCCCCACAACTGGACCAGACTGTGAAGTGACAAATGGAGAAAGAATGAAGTTGTCGAGGATTTGGTCTTGCTTGAATCCACAATGTTCCTGCAAGCAGCAGCCAAGAGATGAAAAGATGCATTGCATTGGGTCTGTCTACCGCACAAGGCCTCTTTAGAGATTTGAAAACAAGGATGTTGCTAGGAGGAGTAAGGTGTGCCTGACCAAAGCCAAGGTGTTCTCAATTTCTCACATGCATGTGAAAGTTGCACATTGAATAAAGAAGATTGAAGACGAATCGATGTGTTTGAATTGTGTTGCTGGAGAAGAATATTGAAAGTGCTGTGGATGATTAAAAGCATAATGACCTTTTCCAGGACTCTTAACAGAGTGCCTCTAACAAGAGACTTTGTCTCAAGGACTTTGGACATGCTGCCAGCAGAGACCAGTCCCTGGAGAAGCACATCATGCTTGGTAAAGAAGTGAGGCAGCTGAAGAGAAAAGGCCCTTCAGGATGGATGGACACTGTGGCTGCAACAACAGGCTCCGAGATAGGAACAATTGTGGGGCTGGGCAGGACCAGGCAGTGTTTCCTTCTGTTGTGCATCGGTCGCTGTGGGTCTGAGCCAACTCGATGGCACCTAAGGACAACAAACTAAACAAATCAAATGAAGAGAGGAGGAA